ATTAAACTCACACCAGGCAATCACCGATCACCTTGTCGCAGCTATAACCTTGATGATTACTTTCCACAATGACAGCCCCCTGCTCCACAGATCCTTTCAACCATCCAGGGATCATTTGGCTCAATATCAAAACAGTCTAATAGTTTCCTGGCTAAAAACTCCACGTTTATTTGTTTAATCGACTAATTGTATGTAACTACATTTGCAATAATAATAGATTCCAATGCGCAAGGAATGCGCAAGGACTGCATTCTCGAACAACTAGTTACTCACCTATTGAAGAATCTTCACCAGAAGGTTGCAATCCGCACAGCTCGTTCAGGAAAGCCATTCTCTCTTATATTTATCGTGAACCCAATATCAGAAAAGTGATAATGCATGGTACAAATTGGTTATTACAACCCTATGAATTGAGTTACATTGAGAGAGAAATAAATAGTTAAGAAACAATAGTTAACAAAAAGTTACAAGCTTTATCTGAAAGGGGATAACGAAAAACTACGATAATCTGAATAAATTAAGACATAGAGGAGCAAAAGAAAGTCGTTATGCTTTTGAATATTAGCTCTTTTTAGCACAACAACCAAATGGTCGTCACCGTATATTTATAAGCGACATGGCAAAAATGAATATTAAACTAATTCGGGAAACAGAACCATTGAGATTTGAAATACCGAGTTCTTCGACTTGCGGAAAAAAATAACAGGAAATTTATTAAAAGAATTTTCTATGAAGAATTTTCTTGCCCTCATCTTCATATTCCTTCTTGCTGACCCATAGTTTTCGGAATGTATCCAGACTAGCCAAAATTGATCCTCCGATCCAGGTCGAATAGAGGCGTTCCTAAATTTTGTTGTTTCAAAGAGAGTTACAACGAATCAGAAATTGTTGCCTTGGCAAATTTAAGTCGGAGATGGCGCATCAAGAAAAGTCGATGACCAGTTGGAAAGGAATATTCTTTCGGCACTGGATGGAGAGAGAAGCTTTTGCACTTGTTTTCTAACAGAAAGGATAATAAGCGGAAACCAAACTCTAACAAAACCAGGCTATCAAACAGTGATACCGTCGTCCATTCTAGGAAGAAGAGATGTAATATCTAAACAAGGGGACGTGCACTATGTACTGCATCCGAAAAAGCGCGTAGCAACTTGCGCGGGGAAGTTCGTGAAGGTTTGTACGACTCTGACACCAATTTTCGGGGCACAAACTTGA